GCCGAGCCTACCAAAAACTTCTTTAGCTAATACTTCCTGGTCTTCAGCAGTAAGGATACCACAACTTGTTTCCCTTGTATTGTTCATTTCACTCATAACAGGATGGCAGAAACAAAATGAATACTTGCTCATGTAAGTGATAAAAATGATCATATTCCTCATAAATGAGCATGAAGCACTAAAAAATATTAGTGACTCACATTGTAACACATTAAGTTTAAAATTTCATTGTTCAGTGTATTTTGTTAATTTCTATTTGTTATTTCTATTTCAAATTGGTAGTTGACATCCGAAATTTAGGATGAGGCTGCCTTCCATGAATCGTACTGCTTGATTAAATTTCCTGTTACTCTAAACCCTCTTAGGATCACCACCCCATTTGAGAATCCGATGAAACTCATGACTATGCCATTTCTTTCAAAGGAAGAAATTGTACATGCATATAATTCTGAACATTGTGATTAATGTTTCCTGGAAATCCAGGTACCCTAAAGATTAGTACCACAAAACACCTCACTTTTCACTTGTGGAAAGTTAAACATGTGATCACAATTATTCATACTTCCTTTGAGATACATTTGAAGCTAACATCATAATAAGGATGACTGTGTAAATGAAGGCTTATTTCTAATTTATTTATTATTTTTTTTTTTTGTAGTTTTTGGCCAGGGCCGGGGTGAACCTGCCACCTCCAGTATATGCGGCTGGTGCCCTACTCCCTTGAGCCACAGGTGCTGCCCTATTTTTAAAATTATTTTGGAATAATGTTAGAATTCCAGACATGTTGTAAATAGCACAGTGTTCTCTCTCACACATCCGTCCTCTATCTTCCTCCATTCTCTTACGTAAGCATAATACAATGATCAAAACCAGTGAATTAGTATTGGTACAATCCTATCTACCCCCTGAACTAGACCTAGAAATCTAGAATTTTGCCAATTGTCCCCTAATAGTGACACACTTTAAAATATCAATCCGTTTTTACTTGTAAATCTAAGGTCTTGGAGATATTCTCATTCTTTCTCTCCATTTCTTAAAAACGGTTGTAAACAACATCAATATTTAACCACAGAAAAATGGTCAAATAAATTGCAATGTCCTTACATTTTGACATTTATACATTTATTGAAATTGCGTTTTGGGAGACTTTTTGATATGAGGAAATACTTAAAATTTAAAAATGCTGGACACAGCACTATATACTCGTACAAGATGATCTCATTTTTGAAAATAAGTAAACAGATATGTACTATGTGAACATCGGAAAAAACGCTGGGAGGAAATACATCTGACCATGTTTACCTATAGAATACTTTTCACGTAATTTGTATTTTTTCAATGCTTTTGACTATTTTCCAATTTTTTTGTATGACGCACTTTTCTACTTCATAATTAGAGAAAGTTATATTTAAAAAAATCTACCTAAGGATCATATTAGTCATTCTCTGATCACCTTAGGCAATTATTACTTTTGTTTTTATAATAATGATATTTTGATTCTGTGGTTCTTTTTTTT